TAATTAAAAGATATACATGTTTATAACTGGCTAAAAATAAACCATTTACAATAACACTTCAAGTCCCAACATTTATAATTTTTGGAAAGTTTAGAAAACATATAACATATTAGTATCATTAAAGAACATATAAGTGTAATGCAGTTGCCTTCAACTGAATGAATACACAATCATTTCTTTATTGATTTATTATATTAATCCATATTGGCAAAGTAACTAAATGTGTCATTTAAGTAAAGTATAGTAATGTAAAGTACATTACTAAATGGTTACAAGTCTTCATTATTTTTTCGAATGATTATTGTTGCATCTGTTTCTGCTTGAGACCAGAGGATCTCTAATATGATCAATAATTGCTAAAGTTCTGCTTCTTCAGATGTTTTATTATATTATAACGGAGATTAGCCTTATTAGCAGGGCAGTCGTTGAGTGGGACATTGGATTCCTGCCAGATTCTGGGCGGCTGTTAGTCAGCTGACCCTGCCAAAGACTCACCGGAGAAACAATGTCTTCCAGCACCTCGGACAGCTCCTCCAGCACTACAGTCCCACATCTAGTGGCAGAATCGCATCCCATATCATAAACAAAAGCCTATTATACAACTTCAAGTATAAGTAGGAGTTTTATTACTTGTACTTTATTACCGTCTGGTCTTCAAAATGTCATCTATTTAAATGCAGTGTGTCTACTTTGGCCAACAGAGACGAAAAGGCTACAGTACCTGATTAACAATTGTTTAAATATGTCCTTTCAACTTCAGCAGCACTGTCTGAGAAGTGGCACAAAGTTTAATCTAAACTATTTTAAAACTGTCTCACAGGCACCAAGCTGTAGCTAGTCTGTCACTGACATTGCCAAAAATACATTAAAGCAATACGTTTTCTTGTAGTCCTAATATTCCGTCTACACAAACAGCTTCATCTGCAGCACCGTTTATCTACTGATAAAAAAGCGTCAAGTTACTACAATGTCATCTCGACGTGCGTCCATCACTTCTTCCAGGTGTTAATCTCATGCTCTGCTTTCTAGGAAATAGTTTCATTCTTCGCTGTTTTCCAGTGACCTTGTCAGTTCAGGGCTTTCAGAAATTATTTAATGACATGTCTGATTTCATTTGAGCTCCCCTCGTCACTGTCTGCCTGCCTGTCTTCTACAAAGGAACATATGTTCCCCTTGAAATGCCATCGCATGACATGACACCAAAATAAGTGGCAATCCCAATTAGCCTGCCTCAGAAAAACGATTCATATACTGTCTTCTGCCATGGAGACCGATTTGCTCGCTGTGAGACAGACAATCACTTTGAAGGCCAACCGTTTTCAAAATCATTTTCACATGACTTGAATACAATGATGTGTGTGTGTGTGTGTGTGTGTGTGTGTGTGTGTGTGTGTGTGTGTGTGTGTGTGTGTGTGTGTGTGAGAGAGTGAAACAGCCTGTCCTCCTCCATAAAACGACCAAATAGGTAGATTGTTCAGCAGCTTATTACGACCTATAGTCACGTTTTAAAGTTTAGCACCTCTAGTGGTCGTGTAAGAAACAACAATTTGCGGCATATGGGCTGATGCTCCCGTTGATTGCAAACGCTCCGGAGGGTCGTATATTCACAAATAACCCTCTCTGGAAAATCCTAAATTGGAGAATAGTTTGGCCATAAAAATGCTTTTTGATGATTGTACTTTTAGAATCCAGGTCCAGTGGATGTGTAGGATCTATAGTTTGATAGAGATTACAAAGATGATTTGAGGTCTCGCCAGGAGAACGTGTATACAGTATACGTCTTTCCCCTATTCATTTCTATTGACGGCAGCGTCCATGTAAAGTTGGCGTCAACCCTCACGGGGTGAACACAGTATTTACGGTCTCGAAGTTTGTGTGTGTGTGTGTGTTCTGTATAAGAGAAATTATCCATGATGGGAAGGCATTTTAGGCTATCATTGTGTATACGATATAAAAAGCAAGACAGATTACATTTCAGCATGACAGAGGCTGTTTCATGTCTGAGTAGATTTATGAAAATGATCACGCCTCACTGGTTTTTAACATGCAGAGAAATTCATCCAACAAATATCGACCGCAAGTCCAAATGTAGCCGTTCCGAATGGTGTCACCCTACATTACAAATGAATTTTGGTATCTTTATGCAATAATACATTGACAATAGGACACGTACCTGCTCTACCTTTTTACCCCCTAACGTTTTGCCTATTCCTAAAAATGTAAATGCTTATTAAACGTAGACTACTGTACATTGTTTGGTATGTGCATTTTATACATATTCAGACAGCATTCTGAAAATAACATATTGGTCTGAATACAAATGAATAGTTTTACTGGTGATTAGATTCAAAAGGCAAGGCCCATATTATATATGGACTTTGCTGAGCTAAACAAACTATCTCCTTGCAAATGCAAATACGTTTTGACAAATATATGAGTGGCAATGATCTTCTCATCCATCTATTAACATCAAGGTGAATAAGAAAATATACTGAAATGGAAAAATATTCCTCATTTGCCATTTTTGTTATAGAAATGGACAGGAGGGTACAGTAAAAGTCATCTGAAGCCTTTTTATACAACAATTCGCTGAAGCTTGCTATAAATATTCTAGCCACTTGCTGCTGGTTCAATACCTTCACTCAGTCCTCTTCCATTAGTGTGTGTGCCGGACAGACAAACCCTACGGATCAAACTTCTGATGAGATTAAAATCCTCTTGAATAAAGATACTGTATTTCATAAGAAAGGATTTTGGTGTAGAGCCGCCTCTTCTCCTGCTCTGATTCTGGCTGGTAAATAAGGGGTCCTCTCAACCTGATGTGATTGGACAGCTGCTGCTGCTGAGGTGACCAGATCGCAGTTAGCTGTAATAGTTTTAATAGAGGTTGCATGTCAGGTAAGACCAATTACTTTGGACATTGATTGCGCTCCCTGTTTCTGATCATGTAATTGCTTTGAGAGAGATGACAGAGGTTCTGCAGCTAAACAGGTGTTCAGGTCGATTATTGTGGATTTCTCATTTCTCAGTTCAGAGAGGGAGAGCTGAGAGAATAAAGGTCACCATCACTCTCACATTAACGGTTTGTGTTAGACTATAGTTTATCATTATATCATTTATTATGATCACTGTATTTCAGGATGTGAAGCTTGTGTGTTTATCGTCAATTTGTCTTCCTTGACATTAAACTTCGGTTTGGTCCTTTTCCAGGGACATTCCCTTTTAAAAGGGCCTAAGGCTTCTCAGCAAACACTCGTTTATACAATCTTTCATTTATGTTTGAGTGTGTGGCAGACCAGAGAATAATGTATGCATATTTTAGCAGCAACAGCAGCACATGGTCGCCCACTTGACCAGATGTGCGACCAGATGAGCCCCCTCAAAATATATTTAGTTTAGCCACTGAATGCATTCATTAAATTACAATCATTTGCAGTACATGCAAACTGTTAACTTCCAATATACTTCTCAGCAACAGCATCACCCCCCCGCCCCAACAAACGTCTGTCAGGTTAGGAATACTAGAATAACTTGTAGAAATCTACTGGTTAACTAGTGGTACCTCGCAAGTGCCTGAGGATATTCATCAATGCAAGTGCTGTCAGCTAAAGACATGGGCCATAACAAGAATCTGAAATACAATGCCATCAAAAAAGTCATGAAAAAAAAAAGTAATTTATAAAACAAAGTATCACATAGTATAACAGAATCATATTATATAGTATGCTTTCAAAAACAAACAAAAACGTATTGTGAAGTGTGCCATTAAACATGCCATTCTAGACAAGTTTAAAAAATAAATGCTATGCCATAAAAAATAAACCATAAAAAATGGTGTGATGTGTAGTGTTAAAATTGTCATAAAATTAGTGCTATATTATTTAAAAAAAGAAAGTGTTGAAATTTGTTTTAGGTATTATATTGGACAGACATTCACTGATCTTCTTACTAAATGTCAGCAGTCAGAGGACGGTTAGCTCACATCCGAGCGCTCGCTCTTTACCACAGGATTTCACTTAGGGACCGTCAATACATTACCGTTTGAAACACACAAAACCAATGTCATGTGACCCAGTGACTCCAAATGAACACAATATATATTTGCAACACAAGACAAATAGAACACTCGCCTCTTTTTACTTGATTTTAGTCTATTTTATGTTATTCATATGTTTTATAAATATGGTGCTTTTTTATTTTGTCAATCGTTTTCATGTCATGTGACCCAATGAATCAATGCAGCATTATTTTACTAATATATTTTAATGACATCAAATGAATGACACTTTGATAAAGGTAGGCTACATTTACAAATAATACAGGACAGAAAGGCAGCAAAAGAAGAAGACTGTGGTTGGAACGGAATATTTTGATATTTGAGGAACCTTGTCTCGCCGAGCCCACACCAGTGAGCCAGCTCACAGTGTCCCGCTCCTCGCAGCAGCGAGCCTCGCAACGTCCCGCCGAGTGTGTGTGTGTGTGTGTGTGTGTGTGTGTGTGTGTGTGTGTGTGTGTGTGTGTGTGTGTGTGTGTGTGTGTGTGTGTGTGTGTGTGTGTGTGTGTGTGTGTGTGTGTGTGTGTGTGTGAGGAAGTCCGCGGATTGGTCCAAACGTAACGGCTCCGTGGACGTAACGGCACGTCACTATACCCGAAATACGTCACTATATCCAAGAAGTAAACAATGGAAAAAGAGAAATCCCCAACGAGGCGTTCTGGGGCAGCATAGACAGGTATTTTCTGTGTTAGAGTTTTACTCGCTACAGGGTGTACTTTGAGGGTTAGTGACTCTGCAGACGGTTTACATGCAGAAAAAGCTACATAACACACAAGGGGACGGGTAATAACCATAAAGCATGACATGGGACCTTTAAATGTTTTTTTGCAACTGCTTTTTACAAACAAAGATGTGATTTTGGTTCATTTTGTGACTGATATGATGATTATAGCGTTGCAGATTTATAATACAAACAAAATACAAACACCCGGCATCAGTCACTTACCGTCCTGTGCATCTTGTCCTCCAAATCCTGGTTGATCCTCTGAAGAGCTGCATAGCTGCTCTGGATCCTGAAAGAATAGAGAACAATAACAACGTCTGTTTTAAATACAATCCACACACATGATGACTGAAGAGTATTGTACTGTTCACACAGCTCAATAATCTCCACTTTAGACAGAGACATACATAAATAACCACATCAGGGCACTGACAAAAAACCTCAGATGGGATTTAAAGGATATTTGAAGTACTGACTCAGATTTGGAGGTCACTCAAGATAAAATCTGCCAATCCAAAACAAAGTAAAAAGGTTTGATGATATATTTAAGCGCCACATCAGGAGATATTAAGAAAAATATGTTTATATATAAATATGTTAAGGTAGGAAATTAGTAAACATACATAATCAAACGCTTAGCTCTAAGGCTGAAGACAAACATGTTTATTTCTCTCTTGTATTTCTCCTTTGAATTCGTTCATCACTGTTGCTCTTTGGGAGACTTCCAGCACATAAGTGATCTTAATGAAACAGGTCCTCGACACTCTATTTGTTAACTTGTTCCTGGTGTTTTTATCATGTCACCTCTCGGTTCAGTATCACATTTTCACATTAGCTCTGGGGCCTCAGAGAGTGTTGATAAACCAGCATTTATGGCTCTATTAACCAGACAGATATGGAGAGTGTGAGCAGTGGAGACAAAGAGCAAAAATAATCATTAAATGAAGACCTGAAAGAGATGTGAGAAGACTCTGAGAAAGCGTAAATGAAAATGAAGGAGTGGCACTGAAAGAGAGTGGTTCCCTGATTGATTTAGAGCAAACAAAACCGGCACATTAGCAACAACATCGAGCCCTATCACTCATTTCAGATAAGCTTTGAGATGAGTCTGAAAGGCAGAACTCTCTGTCTTCACCAAGCTCAAGAAGGGTTGAAATATGACGTACAGTAGGGTGTAGAGTTTGGCTTGTGCCAATCATAACAAACAAATATGGATTCTGTGAATAAAAAGATTAGTATCATTGCAAAAAATTACCAAATGCCCCATCGGCCAGACGGCCATTCTGTCTGTTTTCCAAAATTCCACAAAGAGTTTAAATTATGTTTTTAAAGCAAATTACCAATAGTTGTACATTTGGTATTAAATCAGAGGACCAGAGAAAGAAGGGGATTTGGGGCTTCCAACAAAATTGCCAAAAAACTAATCGATATTTACAATATCAGCACATGTTAACTACAATGGTTAAGATTAAAGGAAGAGGGTAATTCAGGCAAAGTACAAAGTTACTGTTAATGGTGGGGTAGGTCATTTTGGAGAAACCAGCTCGAGTGCGCTAGAATTTGAAAATACACAACTGGAAAAAATCTGCCACTTCCTTACAGAGCCCCTCCTCCAACACACACGGACGTGCACATGACCAATGAGGGCACGAGATAAGTTTGTGCACAGAAAGGCTGACAGGCAGGTAGGCCATCCAGTTATTTTAGCCGGGCCGGCTCAGATGATTGGTCGTGCTTTTTACAGTACTACGGCTTCCACAGATGACATTTTTTGTATGGATTTTTTGTCAAAGCACTTACGTTATTCATTGCTATCGGGATGTTAAGAGCATTCCATGGAATATAACAAAAAGTGTATCTCGAGCCGGTTTCTCAAACTTACCTACCCCACCTTTAAGGTTAGGGAGAGATTAGGGTCACATTAAATACGTTTGAATAAATATGTTTATTTTAGGAGTGCAACAAGGCATACATTGTGGTCTGCTGACCTTTGGTGAGATGCACTGAAGGGTGCACACTACTTCCTATGTCGACATTAGTTGGAGGTGTGAAGTCATCCAATATGAACTTGATCACTTGGGATACTGGGCTGAAAATGAGGCGAGTACCACTGTCATGGCTTTTAATGACATGTTACAGCCTTTTACAACATAATAAATTAATCACCAGTTTCTTCCTGGAGGGAAAATTACAACCCATGCATACACAAGAAGGCAATCTACAAAGTCATGCACACGAACCTGCGTAGTTTCTCTGTAAATTTCTCTAGTTCCTCCTGGGCCCGGCGCAGCTCTGTCTCCAGGTACTGCCGAGTGGAGTCGAACTCCGTCTCCACCATCTCTAGTTTGTGGGTGGTGTACGACAGGCGCTTACGGAGGTCGTCCTTGTGGTCGTGTAAAGAGCTGAACATGCAGCAGGGAGAGTTCAGAGACACGGTCACAACACTGATGTACTTTCATTGCTGTCAAAGTGTGTCAGATGCATTGAGTCTGACAGAGGGGGGAAGAAAACAGACAGAGAGAAAGGCAATGGTCTAAAAAGTAAAGTGTGTAAGAAGGAGGGAAAAGGATGAAGTGTAGCCAGAGTGTGAGAGAGGTCCCAGGCAGGGGGAAAGCAGTGAGGCAGATGGGGAGGAGCAGATGGATGGAGGAAGAATACAAATCATTTCCCATTCACAGAGAGGCTGGGAAAAGAGCTCCCATCGGTGTAATGGTGAATTCCATTACACAGCCCCTGAAAGAATAGGAAAGGATTTCTCGCCCCCAGACACAGAGCATGGGTGATTCATAGAAGACAATATAGAATGGACTGCAGCTTTGTGTGTGAGTGAGCTTTAAAAGAGGGTGAAAGATCAGCATCAGAGAGCAGCGAGACACAACAACAGCACTGTATCAACAACATCAACAACAACAACAGACCAAACAGGGAGCAATATTACAGACATTCGAAGATTGTTTGAATGTGGGGAAACATAGCGACTGGGACGGGGACTTAGGGAATGGATGGGGAGAATGAAAGGCAGGAGATGGGGGAGCATGGTCTGTGTGCGCTCTGGGGGATTTAGCATTTTGCCACACTGATGGATAGTTGGCTCACAGAGAAGTTCAAAGGCTCAGCGCTGCCAACCAGCAGCAGAGTGGACCTCCAAGACCACTTCGACCCACAGCCTCAATTAGAAAGCTGGCAGCAAAGCAGGAGAAAGTCGTGTCCACAGAAAGACTTATAGACTGTTTTCTGTCAACACGAGGGATCGACTACCTTTTAATGTCTGTGTACTTGGTGGAAGATCTCCACTAATTAAGCCTTCATCAAGCCGTAAGTCAGATAATAAGGAGACAAGAAAAAAGATGTCTATAAACGTGGACCCTGAGGTTATATAGTAAATAAACGTGTGGGTGTTAAAACAGCAACACATGTTTAAAGGATGTAGTGAATTGTTACCATCATCTTTTAAATAGCAAAGTTTGACAATTGTCATCAATAATACTCCTGTATACAAAGCAAGTAAGAGTATTTACAAGACCTCGTGAGTTTATACTGTATATGTTGAACTGTTAATATTTGACAGACAGACAGATAGTTGAGTCATTGAAGAGTTTATGTATCAATCATGCTCCTGTATTCAAACCACTGTGCTTGCCTGATGCTACAAGAGAATTAAATCTTTACAACCTCTCCGCTGCCTAACAGCTGCTCGCGGTGTTGTAAAATCAGACGGCAAAGAGCCAGGGAACTACAGTATGTGAAAATTGCCCCGGAGCTCTTATCACTATGTAATGCCAGTATAATTAGGTCTGAGCACAGAGCCATTGATTTTTCTTTTTTATGGTATAACATTTTGTTTTAGATTCAGATGTATAGACTGTTGTTGCAGCACAGCGGTTTTGATGTAGATGTTAGCTGATACATGACAGGAGAAATGAAGATGAATGATGGGAATGACTAGATGCCTCATTCTTTTTTAATGGCTTTTTAATGGTCATGACCTCGCAATGAGAATCCATTTCCATTAGACACAATGAATTAAATGGATCCCATCCCCATATATGAGGCTGATGTTTAGAGATTAAAACAGTCCCCAGACTCACTCATCTTACCTTCTTTTCTGATGTTTGCAACCATTTCTCTGTGTTTTCAGGGCAGTTTTGCCAATATATATCTTTTTCATATTTTTCTCTCTGCCTCGGCTGTCATGTGTGTATAGTTGTTGCCTCGGCTGCTGCTGGTCGCCTGAATGTTGAAGCCAAGTTTGAACTCTAACCACAAACCAACAGTCAAAGCTCTAAGTCTTGCCTGGGGAGGCAGATAGGAGTTGGCTATCTGTGATGACCCTGGCAAGAGAGCAGAGAAAAACAGCTTTGAAGTCCCAAAGATTTAGAGGCACATTTAGTTATGTTGACTCCAGAGAAAAACACAGATTTAGGGTGCATTCAGAAAACGAGACATTTGGTCATGATGAAACGTAATAATTAATGAGATGAATTCAGTGAAAAAACCTGGCGTGCAATATCTTTTGAATTATCACACCAAAGATTAATGCACAGATATTTTTCCTATATAACTTTTACATGTAAGTTCTACAATATAACCAACCCTAACACTGTTAAAGCAATCTACAACATCGAATGTTGAGTGATTCATATTTTGTATTGCTTTAGCCTCCTTTTTTATCGTGTACTTATCTCACATATCTCTCTTGTTGTGAGCAATTGAATGCAGTCACCAAAAACTGCAACACCCTATGGAATAGAGAAGTATTGACCAGCTGACCATAGAGGTTATTCCTCAATCAATCAGTGTTGTGATGAATGCGTGTTTGTTTCCATTTCCATCGTTCACCATCTCTCTGCGGTGCTAGGGCTTGAACTCCGGTCGACTGCACGGTTAGAGCCTAATAACCTGTCATTAGCAAGCATGAAACAGCCGCATAAACTCAAGCTTGTGCAGCCACGCTACTTGTTGATGCGACTACTGTTTATACGTGTTTGCAGTAGAAGGTTTTAAGAGAAAATGAACGGGTGAGTATTACTATATTACTTATACTATTACTTTAAGAGCAAAACAATTGCCCCTGAGCATGGTCTGCTAGGCTATTGATTTCTGCACATGTTGAACTAGCCAGCATCTTGGTTATACCTTCAGGAGCAATTTGGGAATTTGTATCTTTCCCAAGGAGAAGAGATGGGTTAGCATTTGTTTAGATGTTAGCTAACTGATCCTGATAAAACCTTATAGCAAGAGTGTTCTTTTCCGTCATCTAAAGTCAATGGCTGAAATTGTGAAGCCTGCTTTTGTCTACTTCGTTTAAAATTGAAAACCAGTTTTAAATATTAAAATACTTTTAATGAGTATGCTGAATCTGCCACCATTAGGACTGTAAATGTTATTATATGCTGAATGAAGAGGAAAAGCTTGAAAGGCATGGCAACAGTTACTAAAGAGTGGTGGGGCTTGGCAAACGGTCAAATTACCACCATAATCTAACTGGGGTGCAAACATTTTAGATATAATATATTTGCCTCTTAAACATGGTGTCTTGTCCGGAAGAGCCAAGTAAGCATAAATGAATAAATGCAGACCAGCGGCACAACTTTTATCACCTCCCGCAGAGTGTCAGGTTAGCAGTTCAACGACAAACTGGAATGAATGTTTTGTCGCCCGCTGCCATTTTTAAAGGCACCACCACTTATTATTTGTAATCTCTCTTCAACAGTGGCTCAGGAAACAATGGCAGTTTGTGCAAACATTGTTAATATGGTTGCAGTTTCTTATCTGCAAGTCACAGAGGGTGAGAGAGCGAAAGACGACAGAAGTAGCTGCTGAATTGGTAAGTAAGTGTGCTACTATAGAGTCCGCCCTCACATGCTCAGACATAAACACACACCTTCCTGCAGTGCACAGGAAGCACTGTAGCCTCACTGTGTCCTAACACCTCCCACAGAGAGATAAACATGAGATCTCAGTGCCTCAGGTGTTGTTTGGCAAAGTAAACCCACTTTCCACATGAAGGAAAATGTCTGAGTCCTCAGAGAACCTCATGATAGGCCCGCTGCTGTTCCAACACTGCCAGAAAAACTCTAAAAAAACAAAAGGTATGTAAATTAAGCACACTTTCTATTCTACAGAGTCCCCTCAAAGTGTTAAGAGGAGGCTGTAGTGGGGATGCAAACATGAGTAAACCCTGTCTCCCTAAAAACTTTCCCCATGTGTTACATCTTGTCAAGAGGATCAGACAATGCACGCCATAGGGAGTACAACAAAGCTTTGGCACTGCTTCAGAATATAACCTACTTTAGGCAGTTTCCGCCTCCCACTCTGCCCGTATATGTTTTCTCCTCCATGGCTCCCACAGCAAGTGACTCCAGTTTAATTTAGAAAAAAAAGCCTTAATGTGAAACCTTCTAAAGGTCAATACTAGACAGCATCCATTTTAGATCTACAATGGGGAGCCTCTTTATGGTGCCCGCAGGTTGATTTAGTAGTGCTACGCTACAGGAGGTGAGCAGGTAGTCACTGCTTGCCAGATCAAATATTCACAATGACCAAATGAGGAGATTAAACTTTAATGGCCGCTGTGCCATCCCTCCTGAAGTCTGCTATTAAGTGAGGAGCTAACAGAGACACAATCACCATATCTACTTTGAACAGTAAACCTTCCTGTTCCAGTTTAGAGGATATCTCAGTAGGTGTTATTTATGTTGTTGTGGCCATTATCTCCAATGATAATAACCAACGTTATAGTGAGATGTGGGAGCAGAGAAGTCCGATGGGGCAAGAAAAGATAAGAGCTAATGGTAAACAACCACTAAACCACTTTCAACAAGTCATCCACACAACAAAAAGGTAGTTGTCAGTGCTTCCATATTGACTATGAATGTACTGTAGTGCCTCTATCTTTGCAGTATCAGTGCCTTCTCAGACCTTAGCAATTATCCAAATATCTGCAAGTATTGCAGTAGGAATAATGGACCAAAAAACAAAACTTAGACCTGGGTTGTAATAAACCAGATTAAAAAGAAAAGTATTATTATTATTAACGGTCTGAGACAAAAGCCTAAGACTCAAACAGCCTAAAAGCCAAAAGGGACCAAACATGAGCAGAGTTGGAGATAATTAGACTTTACTTTTCTTTCCCATGGTATAATCTACCGCAGAGGCTTTACTTAAGAGCCATGAGTTGTGTGTTTCTTCTGATGCAAGACTCCAGAAATACCACAGTCTCTTGTGTCTCTTCACTACCAGCGGCCAGAAAAAACAGCTCTGTGGATTAAGTCACCAGAGCAATGATGATGACTAGTCAACACAGTTTGCTGCTTGAAGTTAATAACTGCAACTGAGGCGCTTCCCCCACACTGTTTATCTGTTTTAATTTCTATCTACATATCAAAAGAAACTAAACCTTAAGAGGGTAGGAAAAATGTGTTGGCCTTGAAAGTGATAGACATTTTAAAGCCCCCTAACTTCTTAAAAAGAACGACTGAAGTATCAATTTATAATTGAGGCCGCATGAAATCATCTTAAAATGTCATTGATTACATTTGCATATAACGTTGGTTGTTATAAGGTAATAAAACAGGAACTTGATTTACAGTAACATAATAAAAGCATCGCCCCTCACCATGCATTGCAGGTAATGTCAAACGCAGTTCAGGGAAACTCAGCAAATATGCTTGCATTCACTGTCAGGCTTGTTACCATAATGCTGTTACAACACAAAAGCCTCCCGGGGATAAATGAAACGATGAATATTTGTACCCTGCTGCGACGCCGCTCATCAAACTCCCCCCAGCTCCTTCATGTCTCCTTGGCCCTTTGAACATCACATCAGTCATAGCAATAAAGTTGTATTTGTGTAGAGAAGCGCGGTTGCGTACATGTGTAACAAGCATCAGAGGAAACAGCAAGCGTTCAATCCATTTTGGCAATTTGTTGGCATATTTAATTCTGTTCCTGATCAGATCAGATCGCAGCAGGAGTCTTCACAGGGGAGCGCTCAAACATTGTGTTGTGTGTGTGTTGGGCAGTTCAGGGCTGGTGTTTTCTCTATTTGACTTATGTTCCTCATATTGGCTTTAGCTGAGCTTCTATATACAGTGGGGCAAAAAAGTATCCTATAAGGGGGTCCATGGGCATGCTCCCCCGGTAAGATTTGTTTTTTAATGTTGAACTTAAATGCATCAATCTGGTGCATTTTGAGGGGGAAATATAGAGACACTACACCCATATGAAACATAACTGTATACATTTAAAAAATCATAAAAACATGGCCATAACCAATAACATACCATATCCAATATGAAAAAACATTGAAACTGGTTTATTTATTTGTTTTTGGTTCATTTATAGTTGTGAGTGTGTTTGTGCTCCTGAACCAGCCTCACCTGTCTCCCTCCTCTCCCCCTGCTCCTCTTTGAGGCAGCAGCAAAGACTAGTTTTAGCTCTCAACAAGTTTTAATAGTTTATCTTACCTTTTTTCACCTAGTTAACGTTTTTTTTATATTATGCATGCATATTTTACTAATCACTCCCCCACCAATAATGTGTTTACATAAATGGTGACTAAACCGTTTGAGACCCACTGAAATAACTTGGACTAAGTTAACTATCTAAACACTCAGAGTCCTTTACCTCACCTGAGCTGTAGTTATCAGTCTCTCAGTCTGACAGGAGAGGACTCTCCTCCACCTTGTTGTTGAAAAAGCTCCTTATATCCGTTAGCGCAGCTAGCTAGCACCAGATGCTAACAACAACAATACACGTAACCGGTGCGCGCGCTTTATCTCACTCGCTCGCGCCACACATAACGGCCCGTCCACACAGCGGCGTGCGTTGAAGCTTCCAACGCTTCTGCCCATTCATTTTGAATGGTCACTTTTAGCCGAACTGCATCGTGGGAAGCGACGCGGAGCGTTGCTGGCATGGCTCGCTGCAAAAGTTGAGCAATGTTCAACTTTTGACGCCTCGGCAGAAGCGTCAGCCAATCAAATCATATGCCAGTACAAGCTCTAGCCAATCAAACCGCTGCTTGTGTGTCAGGGGTGGGAGATTCATGTGATTGGTTGTTGGTCGAGTGTCAGACACGCCCGCCGGCAAGCGTCAACGCACCCCGCTGTGTGGACGGGCCGTAACACACACCCTCCCGAGCTTGAATGACACACAGAGACCAATCGAGGGCATTAGTATGATCTGTATAAAAGTGGCCATGTCGGCAGGCCACAGAATGTAGACAGCCAGTCACCCTCTGTGAGGCAGAGTCAGACCCACATTTGCGCAGCGTTGCGTTCACACAATACATACATAAAAAAAAAAATACCTCAGGCCAGCAGGCCAT